TGACGGAATGATCCGGTGCTAGTTTTGGCAGTGACCAAGGAAACGACGAGATAAATCAATCAACGTCACCTCGCATCGTTCAGTGAAATCCGCTCCAGGTTTTGTCGACAAAATGAATAAGGTGCGAATAATAAGTTCGAATAGCAAATCGGATTAAATTCAATAAATTGGTCGATGGGATCATCTGTCAGTCAATCAGCGCCGGTAGTGGATTAGCAATTCAAAATGATACGATGTCTCTTTGATTGAGCATGAGCACCTCCATATAGCAGGGAGCTCAAGACCGTCGATCGTTTTCTGTGTAAATAACCAGCCATGGTTCAACAGAACTGCAATCGTGTGTCAGTGTACTGCGGGTGTGCCCTTGGACCTCTTACTAATTAGAATGCTTTTTTGCTGTACAAATGATGAGTTAGCCAAGTGTGAACGTGAACGTTTGGCAAGGTGATCGTTAAGTATTTTCGTTGAACTGTGCAACAGTGTGTCCGTGTGTGTGTGTGTGTGTGTGTGTACATTCGATAGTCACTGCTGCAGTAGTGCAAAGTGATCCGTTTCCGATCACAATTTTGCCGACGACTGAAAACTTTCGAGACTTTGATTGACTCCCAAAAAGAAGAAACGCCTTGTTAAGAGTTAAGACTGAATGATTTCGCTTCTGGACACTTCTTCAGCCTCCTAACTTTGTAAGTTTCTATTACAAGCGTTTTGTGTGCGCTAGATAATAAAATAAGATCAATGCTAGTTATATCATGTGCCCAGAACCACATTGGTCACATCCGGACACGTTCCCGGTACCGTCGGGGAAGTGGCCAGTTTCTGACTTGGACCAAAACCAGTCATGCGACACCTCAAATCTCATGAGAATTCTAAAACAAGTTCAATGGTAGGTATATCAAGTACCCACGACCACATTGATAACACCCGGACATGTTCCGGGTACCCCCGAGGAAGTGGCCAGTTTCTGACTTGGACCAAAACCAGTTGTAGTCACATCAAGTGCCCAGAACGTGTTCCGGTTGCTCCGGGGAAGTGGTCATTTTTTGACATGCATCGAAACCCATCATGCGACACCTCAAACCACATGACAATTCAATTGAATCAGGTGATCAGCAATTGGTCACATCCGGACATGTTCCGGGTACCCCCGGAAAATGGTCAGTTTCTAACTTTGACCAAAAGACATCAAGCGACACCTCAAATCACATGGGACTTCGAAAACAAATTCAATGGTAGTCATAACGAGTGTTTTTTCTCAAGGTGCTTCCTGGCCAAAATCTGTCAGATAGTGATGTCCGATTACTACTCGATTAATCGAGCTAGTCGATTATCTGTTAAAATAATCGATTAATTTTCAATCGATTATTCAATGATTCTCTGATTATCTGCTTATCGATTAATTGGCTACGATTATTGTACGACTTTTTAAATTTTCATTGGAAGAGTTGAATTAATTTTAGTGTACACGGTTAGAAAAAAGTACCCAAAACTAAGTTCTTTTCACTCATCTCGGCACTATAGTGCAGGAACCCAAAAGTAGGTAAAGCGGGTCAAAGTAATTTTCATTTACTTGTGTGCAGTTCGTATGGAATTTTCCACTGGCTTTTTAACCAAAAGTAAGTTAGTTGTACCCAACAGTAGGTAAATATGATTATACCATAGAGGTAACTCTAAGACCACTGGGTCCCGAAGAAAATCATTATTATTTTTGGCTCACTCAGTACCAGAACAACGGTCCCAAGCAGTCCCAAGCTATTTCACTCACCCCTGCATGTTCTGCATGAATCCACACACCCCTGATGTTATCTGTCAAACTTTCATAGCGAATCAAAACAAACATAGTGTAGTAATAGAATTTCAACTAGAATAGGGTACGTTAATCGTTTGCTTGGGACCAATAGACTACTAAAGTGGTGAGCCAATTTAAAATCGTTAGTTTCGTATTGATTGTTGATTATACTCAACGTTGGGTTCCCACACTTTACTACCCCTGTTGGGTGGTTTTGCTCCTTCGATTTTGACAACATTAGTAGGAGAAAAGGAGACAAACTAGTCAAAAGTAGGTAAAAGTGAACTGGCCGTTGGGTACTTTTTTCTTACCGTGTATATAGACCACCAAGCCAACAGAGCATCGATTGAACTATGTTCCATCCCAACTTGAAGTTCAGAACGTCTATTCTCTAAATCAGGTCAAACAATATCAAAGCTACTCAAATATGGACTAATAGGTCTGTGTCATAAAAAGGGAGAATAACAAAGCTGAGAAACCGTTTTTCTGGCCCTCATATCAACATGATACTATCAACCGGTGGAAACTAACGGGTTTAAATTGGCTCACACTACTTGACTAGCCTATTGGTCCCAAGCAAATTGATTAACGTACCCCATTCTAGTCAAAATTCTAGTACTACACTATGTTTGTTTTGATTTGCTATGAAAGTTTGACAGACAAAATGAGGGGTTCGTGGATTTTCCTATGTTTCGAGGGGTGCATCGATTAGCTTGGGACCGAAGGAAGTACTAGAGCTGAGCCAAAAAGTTGAGCACGTTTCTTCGGGACCTACTAGTCTTAGAGTTACCTCTATGGTAATATCACAAACGAAGTGACGGACGACTAACTGGCGAAGAAATCCATTAAAATAATGTGGTTCACTGTAATAGAATTTTCTTGGAAGCTTGTGCCATCATCCACCAGATGGGTTAGTTTTTTTGTTTTGATTTGAACAAAGTTGATTTTGTGTACAATGATTCTTTGACAGTGTGCAAAGAGTGTATCATTTTGTCATTTTTTTATGCATTTCAGTTTTGAGTAGAGTGAAAGAGATAGAACCAAAACATTCTAATACATTTGGTGAAAATGCTAGTACAATCCAGTAGTAGTGTTGTTGCCATGTGGTACAGTCCAGTAGTAGTGGTGTTGCCATGTGGTACACTGAAAAATTGAAATAGCAGGTTAGTCACCAAAGTTTTCGAGCCGCTCCGTCTGTCACTTCGTTTGTGGTAATATGGCGACCAACTTTTTCCTTCCCTGTGATTTATGATCGTTGTCTTCTTCAAAACTTCATCGTCTTGATCTAAAGAAATGAAAATCGCCACTCGATCAAGCCAAATTCAAAGGTAAATGTGATATCGCATTCCAAAAGCGTTGAACCAAATGAATAATAAAAAAAAATCTTTTTATTTTTGCAGTCATAAGACTCAATTATTTAGAAAAATAAAACAATGCATTCTTAAAATCATAATTCTACCGTATGCGTGATAATGTTTGCACCATTAAACAATGTCAAAATTAAAAAAATTCTCAAAAATTTCGTTTTCATGTTTTTTTTTATTTATTCAAAGGGGGGATGTTTTTCACAGTCTTAAACTATGTTAATCATCGATCGAGTTTCGACTTGCTGCAATTATGGCCTCCACACGCTTCCGGAATGCACGGCAGGTTCTAAAAATGTTGTCTGGATCCATTTCTCTCCAGGTACGGGTCAATGTTTGTCTTAGGCTTGCTGTAGTCGGGTGGCATTTAGAACAGGCCTTGGCCTTCATGACGCGCCATATTGAGTAATCCAGCGGATTAAGATCGGGGCTGGATGGCGGCCACATATCCATCGCCCAGAACGGAAAATGTTCCTGCAACCACTTCTGAGTGCGGTTCGAGGTATGGCACGGAGCATCTTGTTGAAATACAACATTTGGCTTCGGACCGTACTTGATCCACGGAAGAACATACTTACTTAAAATCCCGATGTAGACCTCCGTGTTAACCTTGTCGCCTTCTGGAATGAACACCGGGTCAATTTTTTTTTGCCATCTGAAGCCACCAATCCAAACACCATAACACTAGCACGATGCTTGGTCAGATACACGTTCTTGTGCTCGTCGGCCACGTCTTTTACCGGAAGAGAACTAATATACCGGTCGGTTCTGGAATTTGATACGGGATCGACGGTAAACATGCTCTCGTCGGTGAACAGGATTACCGGATTTTTTCGCTTAAGGAAGTTCAAGATTTTCTTGCATCGTTCGTCTCGTAGCTCCCGGATGCGGTTGGTAATCATGTGTTTTTTTTTTCGTGCCCTCGACTTCCCCCGCAATCTTCCTTTACGATCTTCCGTGCCGTAAAGTCACTGATCCCGTGTTCCTTTGCCATTTTCCTTATTGAACGCACTGGATTCACCCGAATCTTCCTTTTGATAGCAGCGATAACCCTCGGAGCCCGAGCTGACCTCGGACGACCAGTGGCCACCTTCGCGGATAGTTGTCCTTTCTTTTCTCGGTCTAAAACCCTTTTGACGGTCCACCGGGACACTCCCACGGCGATTAAAATGTCTTTTTGCGACATTTGCGCGTGGGACAAATCACGAATACGCTGCCACTTCGGCATGGTGCAACTGTCAAACTAAGTAAATCATTTTCTTTTATACACAGCCTACTACGGTATGAGCTATAGGTTACGAGCATGCAAAGAAAACCAAGTCATTGTATGCACAGCTGAAACGGGAACCTTATTTGTACGATGGTGCAAACATTATCACGCATACGGTAAACTACACAATTATTTAATTTTGGTTTGTAGTTAAATTCCAACAAACTTTTGGTCCGCTACATCACAACTGGCATAACTTGTGCATTAATTACATTAAAGACAAGGATGTTAGAATCCACAAATGACCGTTGTCATGGCTAGTTTGCCTTGTAAAACCAGGCCATTCGTGTCTTCTATCAATCTTGTCCTTAAGTACTTTTGCTTGTAATTTATCTCCTACGATCCGGTCCTGTGCATTGCGCGCCTCTCGCATTGTACACTAACGCAAACAACTGATTTATAAATATCCACAGGGATTATTCACTTCCACGAAGAGAGATACGCTTTCCGTTTTAACTTCTCCGCGCGTTTCAACTTGCCCCAGTGTACCTTACTCAGTTCCAACCCAACTTTTCATATTGCAGTGTTGAAATAACTCTAAAACCCCATCTCTTTTCTTCTTCTTCTTCTCCCCCTACAGCTCCTAAATTTCGCCACACCAACTCTGTTCCGTTCGGTAAGCAGCATTAAGAAGATGCCTTGCCCATTCCTAACTCGTCTGAGCACCAGCTACGTGCGCAACTACGCCCCGGCCCTGCTGAAGGCGTACGGTTCCCAATGCCCGGTGGTTGCCCGTACCATTTCGAGCCTGCAGAACCCGCCGGCCGTTGCCGATGCTGGTGGCAAAATGGTGGCCACCAAAAAGGAATCCGTTGCGACTCCCAAGCAACAACTGGAGATGAAAACCCCGAGCCGTAGCCTGAGCTCGCTGCAGCAACCGAAGGCCAAGGAGGAGGCAAAGAAGTGTCCCTTCTTGACCTCGGCTGCTCCGCATGTTAAGGAACTCGGTGCGGAGAGCGTGGATGTTCCCGCCAATCGTCCGTTCCAGTATGAGGAATTCTTCCATGAGCAAATCATGCGCAAGAAGAAGGACCACTCGTACCGTGTGTTCAAGAAGGTGAACCGCTTGGCCGAAGCCGGCCAGTTCCCGCGTGCAATGGAGTATTCCTGGGGTGAGCGCCCGATTACGGTGTGGTGCTCGAACGACTACCTGGGAATGTCCTGCCATCCAGAGGTCAAGAATGCGGTGGCCAATGCGCTGGAGACCTACGGAGCCGGTGCCGGTGGAACCAGGAACATTTCCGGAAATTCGCTAAATCACGAAAATCTCGAGAACCGCCTGGCACAGCTTCATCAAAAGGAGGGAGCTCTGCTGTTCACTTCGTGCTACGTTGCCAATGATTCTACGTTGTTTACGCTGGCCAAGGCCCTGCCCGGTTGTCATATCTTCTCAGATGCTGGAAACCATGCTTCGATGATTCAAGGAATTAGGAACAGCGGTGTGCCGAAGCACATCTTCCGTCACAATGACCCTGCCCACCTGCGGGAACTGCTGTCGAAGGTCGACAGATCGTTGCCCAAAATTGTTGCATTTGAAACTGTCCATTCGATGACGGGAGCCATTTGTCCATTGGAGGAACTTTGCGATGTCGCTCACGAGTTTGGTGCTCTGACCTTCGTGGACGAAGTGCATGCCGTGGGTCTATATGGCGATCACGGCGCAGGAGTGGGCGAACGGGAAGGGTTACTCCATAAGATGGACATCATCTCCGGAACACTGGGCAAGGCATTTGGTAACGTAGGAGGCTACATTGCCAGTACTTCTCTCCTGGTAGACATGGTGCGTTCGTATGCTGCCGGATTCATCTTTACCACTTCGCTGCCCCCGACGGTACTGTGCGGTGCACTGAAAGCGATCGACATCCTGGCTTCGGACGAAGGGCGTGAACTGCGTGCTCGTCACCAGGAAAACGTTCGCTACCTTCGCGGTTTGCTGCGAAAAGAGGGCTTCCCGGTGGAACATACCCCAAGTCATATCATTCCAGTAAAGATTGGCAATCCAGCCCAATGCACCGAGGTATCGGATTTGATGATCAAACGTTTTGGACACTATGTGCAAGCCATTAACTACCCAACGGTAGCACGTGGCGAGGAGAAACTCCGTCTGGCTCCGACACCACACCACACCAAGGAAATGATGGATGTCATGATTCGTGACATGAAGCTGGTCTGGCAAGATCTCGGAATGCCTCTGAATGGCTCAACGTGCACTGCGGTGAGTTCTCAAGTTAGCATTTTTCAAAGATTCTTTAAATAATCATTTTATTCCACATCTATCAACAGGAATGTACATTCTGCCGCAAACCGTTGCTGTTCGATCGCTTCGAGTCTCGCACCAAGGCGAGCTGTGCTGCTGAACTCAATTGTCAGATTCCAAACTGCCCGCAGATTGCTGCTATTGCAAACTAAGCCCTCAAAACCATGCAACGCGCAATAATGCTACACAAGGAGGAGACGCGAAACCGCGCGCTACTCCTCCTTCCGGGTGCTGGGTCTCTATCAGCTTCTTTTACGCTACTAAATATTCCATGACGGAAACAAATTGGTGAATGGTGTACAACGTTCAATGTTCAACAGTGCAGCAGCATATCGCAGCCACATCCAAAATGTCCCTGTAGAGTTAGAAAGTCAGAATCGAAAGACACAAAATCTCCTAACTTAGAGTTTGATCAAAAACAAATTTGCCCTACTCAAGTTTAATTTATTTTCAAATGAGGTGGATGCAATTATTGCCTTAATTCTGGATTCATTGTGATATCGTGATGATCGCGCACTTTTCGTATGCATATTTGTTATCTGTTGTTAGTTCGAATTAGAAAAGAAATCGTTAAGTTTACCTGAAATAAATTATCTGAAACCGAAATTCCTTGCGTTCATGACGCTGTTTTTTTAATAAATGTGTGCATTATCAATCTATACAAATGTGTATGTCGATATGTTGTTGACAATAAACTATTAGAAATACAAAAATAAATCTGTGTTGCAAGTCAATCAAAGTCTCTTGTTTCATTCACCCTGGGCAGGGATGGGTCGCTCTTTTGGGACTTGTTCATTACTTTTTTTAATATAGACCCGCTTATGTTAAATCCAATTGAATTTTCTGTTAACCCCTCGTAAAATAGATAGCTTAATGTTATAAATCTCCCTATCAAAATGCTAGATTTCCGCTTTGTGTTTTCACTGAAGGTACACTTGAAAGCGCTCTCGAGTGCACATTCACAGAGAGTGGCTCTACGGTGCGGAAATTTTGCATTTTGATAGGGAGATTAATAGCCAGCGCTGCCAGATATACCGATTTATCGGTATTTATACCGATTTCCAAGCTCGATGCCGATATACCGATTTTGGAAATTTCATACCGAATTAAACCGATTTTTTTAATCACAATTTAAAACCTTACAAGATTTACAACCGCTCCCTTTGAATGATCTTTTCCAAACATCGTCGTCCATTCTAGCTTCCTAGTTTACCATAACAGGAGATGTAGGGAAATTGTTTCGACAAGCTTTGGGTCATCAGAACGAGCAAACTCTACTGTAACAGTAATTGACGCAACACGCAATATGCTTCCCCCGGAGGTTTTTACCGGCATCTATTGGAAGATTTTCCCGAGCTTCTTCTGGTTTCCACTGGAAATATCACCGACAAACCGACATGAATGACCATAACAAAAACAATAAATTTTCTGACCAAAGCACACTACTGACATCTGGCTCCGTGTTCACGGGAAATATTTAGCTAAGCCATGAACCCGCATGCATAAGTTATAAATTGGTTCGTGTCTGATCTAATCTGGACAAAACAGTTCGGATCACTGCACATTTAAATCGGTCGTTTACGATTTTTGGGCATAAGTCAGAATTAAGTGTCACGTCGATTTATCGGTGCCTTTAATACCGATAAGCTTGAAAACAATCTGACAACGCTGGTTGTTCATTCATCATCTTGTCAGCCCAATTTTTTCCCCAATTTTGAGTAGCCCTACTTGTGACGGATATGAGTAGATCGTTTTCAAATTTGGATTGCTTCGATAGCTTGGGTCAACCTCTCTAATAATTTAAAGGTTTTCATTACTGCGCCACAGAACTCGCAGGATTCGGGTAATTTGAAGGAATTTTTGGAAACCTGACATTTGTGGACACTGGATAGCTGTGATATCAAATGGGAAACTCTTTGTTTCAAAATGAATTTTCTATTTTTCCAGTAGGTAACACATTTTAAATTAAGCAAATCAAATTTCCAAAACCGTACTTTGCATCATTACTGGAATGAACTATTTGTGCGTTGTTCACTCGCTGGACCATAATCGGCCTCTCAACTTATTCAGCAACATTAATGGTAATGGTCTTACCCTTGGGATCATCGAAACGATCCATTGTGCGGATATCCATCATCCAGGTGATGCCATAGGCACCGATGAAGATAAAGATGAACACCAGGAACAGTCCGGTAAGAATTCCTGGAGTGGTGAAACCAATACAATCCCACGAATCACCGAATCTGTTGAACTCGGTGACATCCTCCGATGCCCAGAAGGGTTGAATCTGAACCTGCTCGAGCACAATCTCTTTCTTCATGTCGAGGGTGTAGTACCGTAGGCTGTAGCAGCGATAGGAGAAGTGCTGGTTCAGATGGACACGGTGGCGCAGGTAGTATGGTGTGTTGTCATATGTTACACCTGTGATTTCCCAAGATCCGGAAGTAGCCTCGAACATAATAGTAAGTGAGGCACTAGGCCCTTTGATGTCGATCTGCAGGGTAGATTCGCTGCTGTTGGCATCATTCTTTGTGACGGTTTCAAGCGACACCTCAACCAATGCATCAACAGCACCTGCCTTGAAGCTTTCGTACGCCATCAGGAAGTTGTTGTCAATCTTCAGGATCTTGACAGGGACCTGTTCATCATCCTGTTTAGCCTGACGAGTGTGACGGATAAGGGTTGAATAGCGGAAGGAAGGAGTCTTGCCAGTGTAGATGGCTAGGATATTGGGAAACTCGGCGTGGAGCCGATTATATAAGCTATCGATGAGCGCATCATGTGACGCAAAATCATCACCGCTGAGATTAACAATAACAACAGCACCACCCTTCGGAACAATTCGCTCGCTGAGAGAGCCATCGGCCGAAAGCTGCACGCTCTGGATATCACCTGATTCCCGTTCGAATGCTGTCAGAGGCTCCTCCACATTCGGAAGATAGGACTTACGTTCCACCTTAGCAAGATTGCGGAAACAGGTCTGGGTCTTCAGTTTGCATTGGCTGAAGTCTTCAGTGGAAAGCTGTGTAATAGACAATACGTATAAAACGACAAAATTATTCATCCGGATAATGTCCAGAATACTTACGCGTTCCTCTGCAAATACCAATGTGAAGGTCTTGTCGTCCGCTTGCGATTCAACCAGGGCAGAGAATTCAGAAGCCGAATACTGAGTAAGGGCTGGAACATACGTAACACTGAAAGTAGCACAGATGAATAGAGCCTTGAGCAAACTAATTAATTAATTTAGCTTTATTTAGGAGGCTTTCAGCCTTAGGCTGGTTCGCCTCCGACTTGAGCAAACTAGCATCACATGACCTCCCTCTTATATTGCCTTTTTCGTCACCATTCAATTATGCCCAATTACGCTCAATTTAAACAATCCGCCCCCACAAACGAATGCGGCCAACTCAACCAATACTTACGATGGCTTGCCCCAGACGAAGACGGGAACTGCCGAAGCTCGGATGCTAGAGACCAGCATAGCCAGTCCCAGCAGAATCAGGGCAGACTTCATGTTTGCACTTGCTGACTGCCTTCTTTGCGGAATTGTTCAACTCTTACTGCTTGCTGGATGATTCGGATTGCTACTGTTCCACAAGTGGTCACAACGTACGAATCAGATGGTTCCAGGCCGCTGGAATTATAATTTTCTTCTTCACTGCTGATCCCGTGACTCAACCAGGTCGACATTCACCTAACGTATGACAATGGTTACAGGTCCAACAATGTGGTCTCTTTCGTTCTACCGCGCGCTGTCTTAAGGCAACAAAGAGTTTGATGTCGCACTCAGAGCTACATAAGAACAGTGCAAGAATGAAAGAGACGACAAATTCACATTGCTGGAACCTGTTATCCATCACGGCGAATGAGAACGACCCAAATTTGGAACTCAGCGATGAGTTAAATTTGTCGCATGGTTTCCTGTGCACTCAGAGATAAATTAAATCAAAAAAGCTTAAAAAGTATGCAGATTCCCGCTTCACCTTATTGAGTCCGAGACATGATTACTTTGGCAGTAGTAATGCATGATTAAATTCGAAATAATCTTTCCAGTATTAAATTTTATTCTTTTTCAATACTGATATATAATCAAAAAAGATTAAAATTCAATCAAAAATTATTAAAATAGAATCAAAAATGATTAAAATTTATTCAAAAGAGATAATCTTCAATCTAATCAACCATGATTAAACTGGGATTAATGTTAGATGCTTATTTTTTTAGAAAGAGAGTATTTGTTAACGGTATCGAGTGGACTGTAAATTTTGAGGGTTCGGTTTCTACGAACAATCAACGAGTATTTTTTCCGTAGTCAATCTAATAAAAAAGCGTCTCGATTCTCTTGACTATGGAGCACAACTAACTTTATTCGGTCAAACAAAAGAACAGAAAAGGACTGTGTTGTAATTGAATTGTTATCGCACAGGGTGTGCCAAAGTCTTGTGGTTGGGGAGCGCAGTAGGGATGCGCAAATCATCAAACAGTATTAATGTTTATCATTCGATATGATTAAACTGTGTTCAATGCCAAATTGATTAAATTTCAAGCAAAATTGGAATAGTTTAATTTATCAGTGTGGAAAACCTAAAAAATCTGCCGGAAAATGAGGAAATTGACGAAAACTTTATTCAGTCTAGGAGTAGTACCAATAGACAATCTTTACTTTTCTCAAATTCAGGAATTATTCCCTGGAAAATCCTGGAAAAACCTGGGAAAACATGAGGCAAATTAACTCATCGCTGAGTTCCTGCACTTTTGGCGATTATGAGTAAACTAAACTCAAATTTGGGTCGTTCTCATTCGCCGTGATAACATTCGACGTATTTTGAAAGCTGACGGCTTACACGGAGAAAAAATACTACCCAAAATGTGAGTTCTTTTTATTTAATTTTAAATTGAGCCTCTCACTTGCACTCGTTTTATCACAAACGAAGTGACAGACGACTTACTTCGAAGAAATTAATTAAAATAATGTGGTTATCTGTAATAGAATTTTAGTCCACCTTCCGCCCCTCACCGCCAGGTTCGCTAGTATTTTCGTTTTGAATTATTTCAAGTTCCTTTTGTGTGCAATTGGCGTTGACGGCGACTCTGTAGCTCTTTACTCCTATGAGAAAATCCATAAGCAAACGTCAGACTGTGCGTGAAACATGGCGGACTTTGTACTATCCTTTCACTCCACCGAAAATTTCTATAAGAAACTGTCTATATTTGCTGAAAGAGCAAATTTTTCAACGGTGCCGTCAACGCCAATGATCTGGCAACTCGAGTTCTCGATCGCGTTGACGGGGTGCTGTTTTCTCACTCATCGAAGGAAATTTTGATTAGAGTGAGAAAGTAAGGAACAGTCAGCGCGGGAACCGTGTGCGTTACTATAGGTGCGGCAGAAGGAATGTAGTCGACTCTTTCGTTCTCACGGTGTTGTTACGCATGGTCCAACGTTACGTCACACTAGATTATACATAAGAACGTCGTGATAGTGAAAGAGCTGACTTGTTTCCTTCCGCCTCACCAATCACATTGAGAAACCGATCAACTTCAACTTGCTGAAACGACATGTCTACCGACTCGACAAAAACTGAAAAACCAATCAGCTATGCTCAATCAAACTATCAAAACGTAACATTAATATCTATTAATATACCCTTTCCAACAAGATAACAACATAAAAAATACAATAAAATTTACCGAAGATATTACACAAATAGTGAAAAGTATGATTTAGGTGTGGGGCTCGGAGATTTAAACATATAACTTTCAGCCATTTTGAAAATGTTCGACATATGCGGGAAGTCTGGACATTTCTATGTAGATGATCATATTTTCACATTTTTTGGAATGGATTTCCCAGAAAATAATAAAAGATTATTTATGCAAGTGTTAAATATCACATTTCCGTATACTAAGCGCAACCCTCTCTTAACCTCTCTTTTACGAACGTGTTTTAACAAATAATAGAATGTTTGTATCGAAGATCACTTTTAAATTTGTTTGACTTTTCATTCGTAGCGGTAGATTTGCAAAAGATTAGCAAATTGTTGAGATATTTTTTAAATCTAACACTGCTTCTGAACGCATTGATATTCAATGGCGCTGCACTTTGGCCTATCGAATAAAGAAAAAAATTGATTCCACCAGAGCGCTTTTGTTTTTGAGAATAGCGGGTATAAACATTCATATCAAACATACTTATTTACTTGTTTCAATATCTTTTTAAATAAAGTACCGTACCAAGCGCTTCATTGACTCAAGGTTTCCCAGGTGCCATGAATAACTTTCGAAGCGATCGAATAAATTTCCCTATAAGGCATCAAATACCATTCCCCACAAAGACCTGCTTATGACCCAATGCTGATCCATGAGATCCTCCCTTTATGCCAGAAGGGAAGCGATGAAGAAGAAGCTGTGTGATTTACCTAAAATACAAAATTCGCATCGATGCCAAGAATTGTCGCTTGGATAGGCCTATTTTACGGGATCCGGAAAAGGCGTTTCCAAATGCGATTATACGGAGTTGCTAAAGTGTCACGCTACCACGCGCCGTCCTCTGGATGACTTCTGTATCATCAACTGGAGCGACATGTTGGAACACATTTTGCTGCTCGATAGCCCTGATGGATTACATTACAGTAGCATTAAAATAGAGCTACGCGACGGAAAGAACAGTGTGTCGAATAAAATAAATAATTAGTAGAAGTAAAACCTAACAAAACAAAAGAAATTGTAATTTCAAACATTAATAGCAAGCTAACTATTTTTCTTTTGAAATAATCGTCGATGTCTTCTCGGTCGCGGATGACTGTGGCTTTGGTTAGAAGCACGGACTGATGAAATCTGTAGCAACAATTGCCGCCAACAAGCGCGACTCATTGACTGCTCAACATCGTTTACTTATAAGCAAATGTTAACCCGAAGTATTCACCCCTGATAATGTTGGCCCAGATAACAACGAAAGCAACATAATGTCATGCTGTCTGACAACAGGCTCTCACTTTCAATTTTCGTTAGAGAAAAAATTAAAGGGTTGTGTCCTAGACACGACCGCAGTATGACGTAGAACCACACAAAATTGATGTTTTTTATGCATTTTTGCCTATTATACTTTAATTTAAAATTTTCAAGTATTTCAATGTTTCGGTTATGGTTGACTCGAAACAATTTACACATTTGATGGTGAGGGGGTAGGAGAGGTTGATGGTGGGGGGGAGAGGTTTTTGAGGGGGGAGAGGTTGTTGAGGGAGGGGCGAGAGGTTGTTGAGGGGGGGGGGGGGGGCGAGGGATTGTTATGAAAGGAGGAGGGGGGCGAGGGATTGTTATGAAGGGAGGAGGGGGTACATGTATTGCTTTTCCTCATTGTGGTCACGTCGTGATCCACCTTAAGCCGCTGATTTAGACCTGCTTACTGCTGCTAGGACCAAGTGCCACGCCGTCCGAAGCGACAATGAGCAAAAGCATGACAGCAGCGCTGTTTTATATCTTTTCAGGTTCAGAACCTGATAGGATTTCCACAGTTTTTTACACGGACAGAAAATGGTTTGCATTGAACAAAAAAAAACTTTATTTGTATTTACACAAACAATTCCGGTTGAAATTATATTGCATTTTATTGTTTCGATAATATTTATTCAAATAAATTCAAAATAAGATTCTTTTTGTTTTCATAAGCCACTCTTCAACTGCAACTATTGTAAAAATAACAATATTCTTTTATCAAGCCAACAATAGTTAATTTTAATTTAACATTTATTTCTTGTGTCAATTCCCCGGGTCATGAATGCAAAAATAACTACCAACCATTCCCTCGTGAAAACCCGGACAAAAATGTAAACAATAACAAAAAAATTCTCGTTTGATTCAGCTCTAGAGGTAAGTAAGTATGCTGCTGTTGCATAATATAAACAGTTTTTCTTTTTTTCCTTGATTTTTTCCGTCGATCTTATTTTCAGTACTGAGTACCAATGCTCCCAACGCCAGGAAGGCCACTCCCACACCTGGACCCTACCTATCGACCCATCAATTCATGAACCGGAGAGATTTTATGCCTCAGAAAGTTTTTTTTTTTAATTTAATTGTTATTCTGTTGGTAACAAATAGAAAACAAAACATAAAAATAATCGCAAATTATTAAAAATTGAATCAATAAACATATTTTTATTTCTACTGCGTATATTTTTAGGCTTAATAAAATAAATATGATTGAATCAACAAGAAATCTCTTTTAAAAACAAACATATTTTTTTGTTGACCCAGCTGCCAAATTTGACAGCTTACGTCAAAATCATAAAAGCTCTTGTAAATTCGAAAAGATTTTCTTTTTGATTTAACAATCCCTGGGTTTTTAAAAACAAAGATACTGGATTGTTGAAATAATAATGATTTCATTTTGCAGCCAAAACAAAATGAAATTCTTATTAAATTTACGTCAAATATTATTACGTTTAAAATATTTTTTTCTGCGTGTATGAATGGGGCGGAGCAGAAAGTTTCTTTTGTGCAGAATATGTAAAATAGGATGGACTTTGGATGTTATTATAATTGCATATATAGAGGCACCAGATGTGTTTTACCGTCAGTTGTGTGTAATTCACCAACTGAATGCATCAAACATGTCTTTCAAGCAATTTTTTGTTTTTTTTTT